GTCTCTCTTGAGAGTTTAGCCTTAGAAGCTATTATACGCACGAGAGTCGCCTTTACACACATAATTTTGAAACAGAGAAAAAGGACAATATCCCAGTTCAGATATTTAGAACTGTTATATATTACTAGTTTTTTAAATAGAAGAAAACACAGAAAACAGGAGTGAGTGTCCAACCAGTGCCTGCCGTTTTTATCATTCTCTTAAAAGGCACTCCTACAAAAAAAAAGACGTTTGCGTACTCATCACGTAACATAGGAGGGTATAGAAACACAGAAGGGACAATTTGCATTTTGTAAATACACAACATATTTCCTCCCTCCTAATGTAAAGCAGTAAAGAAAATAAACATTACTTCAACAGCAACACATTTTTTTTTTTTGGAACTAGGGAAAGAGGGTAGACTACCTCTATTCCCAGACATAACCCTGGGGATTATTCTGCCCCAATGCGGTGGGTTTGTCACTAACTAAAGTGTCAGTCTATTAGGAGGTCGACGTTCTCTCTGAGGATACGGCCGGGCTGTTGGTACACTCACAGTCACATTCTTTTTTGCTGGAGTTTGATTCGACGAACTTGTACTTGAAACAGTCTCTTTCACCTGACTCGGTGAAGTCTCTGTCGGTGCATTTTCAAGGGTTGGGGCAGAAAATTGCTCTGACAGCTGATGGTAACTTGGAGCAATTTCTGGGTAAGGATCTGTTGTAACTGGTTCTTCTGAATTGTCACATGAATTTACAGCTAGTAACTGGTCTACATGTGTTTTCCAGATGAGATGACCTTCGGCGATTTCAACAGTGTAAGATACAGGCCCAGTTTGTGCAATCACAACTGCTGGTAACCATCTGGCACCTCTTGCGTAGTTACGAGCTAGCACTTTGTCTCCGGGTCTGGCCTTCATGAAAGCCTCAAACTCCTCTGAGACCAGCTGAGGCCCATTGTCACTGACAAGTTGCTGTGGAAGGCCAAAATGACCAAAAATTGAACAAAGGGCTTCCACAGTTTTCACAGATGACGTGATTTTCATTACCTCCACCTCTGGCTATTTGCTGTGGGCATCAAGAAGAGCTAAAAACATGTGGTCTTCCAGTGACCCTGCAAAGTCAATATGTACTCTCACCCATGGCTCCTCAGGCCATTGCCAAGGGTGTAATGGAGCTGGTTGAGGGGTATTTCTTAGCTTTTGACATGCACTACACGATTTGGCTTTCTCCTCGATCTCAGAGTCCACGCCTGGCCACCAGAGGTAGCTGCGGGCGATTTCTTTCATCTAAACTACTCTGCAGTGTCCCGAATGAAGTTCCTCCAATACTCGTTGTCTCAATGGTGGTGGAATAATGACCCTGGAACCCCACAGTAGACAACCAGATTCAACAGTTAGCTCACTTCTCCTACTCACATAAGGCCTTAGGAGGGGTGACATTCCTCCCACTTCCCATCTGAGCACATGACCCCAAACCTTGGACATCACTGGGTCAGTACGTGTGAGCTTTTTAACTTGAGCTGCTGTAACAGGGGAATTGTCTACCTCTTTGAAATAGAAAATTTCTGCCTTTGCTGGTTCTGGATGGGTAGTGGGTAGTGGCAGTCGGGAAAGCCCGTCAGCATTAGCATGATGTTCCGATCGCCAGTATTTAATATCATACTGATGCGCAGACAGAAGTAGAGCCCAACCCTGCATTCTTGCGGCTGCAAGTGAAGGAATGCCCGAATGTGGGCCAGAAATGGAGGTGAGAGGTCTGTGATCTGTTAGTGGTGTCTTCCAAACAAGAATTGATTAAATTTCTTCACCCCAAACACGATAGCAAGTGCCTCACACTCAATTTGGGCGTAGTTGCCATCTGCCTTGCTCAAAGTTCGTGAAGCGAACGCGATGGGTTTTGGCTTGACACAACCGCCCCCACGCCATAGGGCAACACGTCATATGCAAGCTGCACTGGCAGAACGGGGTTGAAGTGAGTGAGGGCTTCTGAGTGGGCTAAGGCTGTTTTTACCTGAATGAAAGACTCCTCACATTGTTTGGTCCAATCCCACTTCTTGAATTTATTCAGTAGTTCGTGCAACGGTTTCAGCCTGTTAGTTAGATTTGGCACAAAGTTTGCATAATAAGTCAACAGTCCCAAGAAAGACCGAAGCTGACTCACATTTTGTGGAGCTGGCACTTCCACAATCGCCTTCACCTTCGAGGGTGCCGTATGCAGCCCAGAACCATCAATCACGTGGCCTAAATACTCAATAACAGTCCCTTCTGACTTTCAGTCCAAAACTCTGCAGTCTCTGCAAGGTGACTTCCAGGTTACTCAGATGTTCTTGGTCATCCTTTCCAGTGATAAGCAAATCACCAAGGTAACACTGCACCCCAGCCCGCCCACTGAGGATGCGGCCCATTGCTCTTTGAAACAGTGTCGGCGCTGAGGTGATCCCAAACGGAAGTCTCTGATATTGATACATTCCTTTATGTGTCACGATGGTAAGGAGATCTTGAGAACTTGGATCTACATGCATCTGCAAATATGCCTGGCACAAATCTATTTTGCTGAACTGTTGGCCACCAGCAAGACCAGAAAAGAGATCCTCTATAAGTGGCAGGGGGTACTGCTCTGGGGTCAGAACCGGATTTACAGTCACCTTAAAATCTCCACATAACCAAAGGGACCCATCCTTCTTCATGACTGGCACGATTTGTGTAGCCCAGTCGCTCATGTGTACTGGTTGCAGAACTCCAGCCTTTACCAGCCTCTCCAGTTCAGCTTCAACCTTGGGTTTAAGTGCGTAAGCTACAGGTCTGGCCTTCAAACACTTTGGTTGACTTCCTGGCTTCAGTGTCAATTTCACTACAATGTCCTTCATACTTCCGAGTCCATCACTGAACACATCTGGGTACTTGTTTAGAATCGCTTGGAGTTTTGCGTTTTCGCAGACCAGATGGACCTCTTGCCAATTCAACTGAATCTTTTCCAGCCAAGTTCTTCCCAACAAAGCTGGATGATTGCCCTCAATAACATACAGTGGTAGTTTTCTTTTTTGCATATTGAGTTCAACTGTCACCTCAATTACCCCTTTAACCGGAACTATTTCATCTGTGTAGGTCTTCAACGTGATGTTGGATGGCTGAGGGGTGCGATGCGGCAGCATTTCGTTAAATGCCATCTCAGACACCAATGAAACCGCAGCTCCTGTGTCCACCTGCATGCGTACTGGTTTTCCATCTAGGAGAGGAGTCACCCAGTAACCTCGCTCATCTCCTGAAACAGATAAGACACATAAAGCATCCTCCCCCTCTGTTTCCGAATCACTTTGTGTTTGCTGGGTGTTTTCCATTTGATTCACATGCTTTTGTTTGGAATACTGATGATGTTTCTTTTTAGGTTCAGTGTTTTTATTTGGTTGCGTCTTTTTGTTTTTGCAGGCACGCTCAATGTGACCTCTCTTGCCACAATTTGTACAGTTCATGTCCTTACACCAACAATCTTCAGACTGATGTCCCACTTCGCATCGATAACGTGGCTTTTTTAATTTTGACTTATTCCTTGTGTCTGAGTAAACCTTGTGCACTTGGGCGGATGCACTTAGTTTTTGTGCCTCTTTTGCGGCCATTTCCATAGATGTGCTGATCTCTATGGCCTTCTGTAAAGTTAAGTTACTTTCAGTTAGTAGTCGTTTTTGTATAGCCTCACTTCGAAGACCACAGACAAGCCTGTCACATATAGTGTCACTCAGTGACAGGCCAAACTCACAATGTTCCGATAACCGTTTCAACACTGCCACAAATTGAGAGATAGATTCGCCATCTTGCTGATTTCTTTTGTGGAATCGAAATCTCTCAGCGATAATCAGTGGTTTAGGCGAATAGTGCTCTTTGAGTAACCTCACTATTTCCTGATAGGATTTGTCACCTGGTTTGTCTGGCTGTGTCAAACTCCGAAGCAGATTAAACATCAAAGATGTAATCTGTTGTCAAGTCGCATCTCACGTTTGAAAAAAGTCCACTCTTCAAAGCATGCGGATAGTGATAGCGCTCAGATCCAATGGCCGGCATTGTCAGGCTGCCAGGGAATGATTGACAGTGCTCTGATCAAATGATGCTGGGCACTGTCAGATTGACAGTATTCTACACCAATGGCTTTAGGGTGGCACCCCATGCCCCACACCTAAACCCGCCCCTGTGTAAGAAATGCGCTGTCATGAAATTCCTAGACTGTTAAAGTCTTTACCATGCCCCCCAACTTAGCTCTCTTAAACCTCATTTCTAGCCATGCTGTATGATGGATAAAGGAATATTCAATGGGTTTTGAAGGGTGACTAGTTATCATTGAATATGAAAAAAGAAATGAAAACCACAAAGCATGCTTAGAAATGAAAAAAATAAAACTAAACATGCATTTTCCATGTCAGCAATCTGCTGCAGTGTGAATTTCTGACTTTAGTGGCAGCCGTGGTGTTGCTCTTCGCCGTTACTGTACCTTAGAATTCTTCCCATCATTCTCTATATCACAGAGCCTGTAGTGACCCATGCTTGCGTGACTGGGAGGCAATCTGGATTTTAATTAGAAAAGCTGGCCTGTTGTTAGTCAGCTTCGTGATGCCATTTATCTTGGATTGCAGTTTGACCTGCTTTTTTATACAAGCCCCAGAAACAGTTTTAAAATTATCAGCTTTTAATGGTCACTAGATTTGTTGAGTTCTTCAAGACAAAAATAAGTCATACTATTACATGAGGGACTGAACATTAATTGGCAGGATGGAATGCCTTTGAAATGGGAGTGAATGGGAACAAGCCTGTTTATTTTCTGTACTGCTGTGAGACTCTACAGCAAACAAATCATGTGGCTCTTTATCCTTCAAAAACTTTAATGAATGGAAGTAAAATTTATGTAGGGCCTCAAACTTAAATGGCTCACTTAAATACTTGTAAACTCCCCAGGAACAGCTGGATACTTCTGCAGGGAGGACGTTGGACACAACATTCACCCTGAAAAGAAATACTCCAGACTCTCCTATGATTCCTGCCAGTCATTCACACCTTTATTATACATATACATCTACAGAACAACCTTAGAGCAACCAAAAAATCTCCCACTGTCAGAGAACGACTATGCTGATTGAACATTAATTAAAAGCAGACTGAAGCCTGTGTACTTAATTCTGTCAGGCCCTCAGAGGCAGAACCGTTTGACCCCCTCAGATACAAGTTAAATTAAGAGCAGCACTGTGAACGAGTCCTCTGGCTCAGAGCCCAGTCATCAGTCTCTCTCAACATCCTTGTCATGCTGTGCTTTCATGCCAGGAGATTCCTGATAAATCAGGAAAGTTCAGGGGGTCGCTCAGAAGAGAGCCATGAGCATGGCCACGTTGACGGGCAGCTCCAGCCGCTCGCGTGTGTATGGCATGGCTCTCACTCGCTCGGGGGCCTCGACGAGGAAGGCGGCGGGCCCCAGGCGCTGCTCCACGCAGGTGGCGCACAGAGGCCCCCCAGCATCTGTGTAGTGCATCTGCGAGGGGCAAACGTGCACATGCATCACCACCGGCTCACCTTGAATCCACGGCAGGTTTCAGAATCATTATAGAGGATTAGGGGAAAAAAAAGTAGGCTTTAGCCTTAGCAGGGTTCTTACGAATCTGATGGGGACTTTGCACATGGTGAGGGCCGACTCGACCTCAATGTGGTTCCGGCACTCTGGGACCGAGCAGCTGGGAGGCTGGCCCTCCGTCAGCAGGGCGCCAGTCAGCCGTGAGCGCAGAAAGTACTCCTACACCAAGGAAAAAGAGAGAGAGAGAGAGAGAGAGAGAGAGAGAGAGAGGGATACACCAAGGAAAGAGAGGACAACACCAAGGAGAGAGAGAGTGGATCAGGAAGTGGGTGGGGGAGATAAAAGGAAAGGGGGCCACCGTGACAGGCCATACTCACCCCCGCCAATGTGAGTAGGTTCTCGATGGTCTTGGTCAGGACCAGACGCCTCTTAGCTCGCGTTACTGCCACATACAGCACATTCCACTCATCGTCCGGGACGTCTGTGGAGTCGGGGAGGGGGGTTGTGGGTTAAGGGAGGAGAGCGAAGCAGGCGTAGAACCAGGCCCGGCGCCAAGGGGGGGCGTCGCCCCCTCAGAGGGATAATGCCGCCCCCTCTGTTAAAATAAGCCCTAACTGAACTTAAAAAAAAAAAAAAAAATTTAAATTTATTTTCATTTTAAAAGACTAATATATGTTAGACCACTATATAGTTAGCTAAAAAATAAAGTCTACATTTTACATATGTGTCGGTACGTTCTAGACTAGATTTTCAAATCCAGGCCCTTGATTGGTCAATTGGGTGAGCGGGAGCAAACTAACTCGTTCACAACTTTGGGTTTTAGCAACTGGAAACATGCTACGGACACGGCAAAAGGGTTTAAGAGACATGCCAATAGTAAAGAACATCAAACATGCGTGGCTTTTTGGAAAGAGAGACAGTTGCGATGTTCTACAAGCAGTGAGATTTCAACTCCCTGATACGTCCTTCGGTTACTGCTCCCAACCTTGGGGTTACCATGGACAATCGTCTGTCCTTTTCCTCACATATCGTCAACGTTTCCTGCTCTTGTCGGTTTCTCATTTACATTTACAGCATTTGGCAGACGCCCTTAGCCAGAGCGACTTACATAAGTGCTTTAAGACTCCACAATGAATTTTTCCCGATACTAGCTCAATAAAAACCAAGGCTATGAGTACCATCGATCTAATACTCTGTTGGAAAAGTGCATTTTTTTTTTTTTAAAGGAATGCCAGAAAGTATAATGCCAGAAGTGTTAATTCAGGTATGAGGTATAGGTGCTAATTCTCCTGTTTAATATCAGAAGGATTCGTCCATTTCTTTCCACACAGGCTACCCAGATACTCTTTCAGTCCCTCGTCATCTCCCGCCTTGACTACTGCAACTCGCTCCTAGCGGGTTTACCACTGAGCGTCATTCGTCCCCTCCAACTGATTCAGAATGCAGCTGCTCGGCTTGTTTTCAACCTTCCCAAGTTCTCCCACACCACTCCTTTGCTGCGCTCCCTACACTGGCTTCCTGTGGCTGCCTGCATCAGATTAAAAAAAAAATGATACACTATCCATTTGGCATACAAAGCCAAAAATGATCTGGCTCCATCCTACCTAAAAGACCTCATCACACCCCGCACTGCACCACGATCTCTCCGATCCTCCAGCACTGCTCGACTGGTCCCACCACCCCTCAAGGCACAAGGAAGACACACCTCTTGGCTGTTCTCTGTTCTGGCACCAAGTTGGTGGAATGAACTGCCCCTAGATGTCCGAACAGCTGAGTCACTGAATGTCTTCAAAAGACGACTTAAAACACACCTTTTCCAGAAATGCCTGAATTAACACTTCTGGCATTATACTGTTTTTTTTCCTTTTATTAAAAAAAAAAAAAAACGCACTTTCCCAACAGAGTATTAGATCGATGGTACTCATAGCCTTGGTTTTATTGAGCTAGTATCGGGAAAAATTCATTGTAGAGTCTTAAAGCACTTATGTAAGTCTCTCTGGCTAAGGGCGTCTGCCAAATGCTGTAAATGTAAATGTAATGTAACTGTTTAATTCCGATCAGCTCTCTCGAACCCGCCTGTATGTCTCTGCCATTGTAGACATTATTGAATTTGTTGTCTCAAACAAATTGCCATTGAGGGGATCCATGGATTCGATTGATAACCGAGATCAAGCGGGAGGTGGACTTTTTCTGTCTTTGTTTGATTACACTTTGAGACAGAATGAAATGCTTGCCCGGGCTTATAGTCCAGTTCCGAAAACGCTATTGAGGTATGGTTTAATTTTTAAATGTTTTGGTGTGTTGGCTTGATCGAGAAATATGCGTCCACTTGCTTTATGTTTAATGTCAAACTTCGCTGCTGTGCCATGGTGTTTGGAACGCACGTTTAGGGTTTGTTAAACAGTAGCGTGTTTGTGTGTGCGATCAAACAGTTATTATCATATAGAACTAACAATCGTACAGTGTGCATATTTTGGGAGTTAAATCGCCGCCCCCTCTCTGTATTTCAATTACCCCCCAACCTGTTTTCCGCTGGCGCCGGGCCTGGAGCGAGGGATCAAACAGAAGCAGCAGTGGGATGCGGTTTTTCCTTATTTTTTTTTATTTAGTCTTACCCATGCAGCTGAGTTACAACATTATTCCAAACTGTACTGGGGGGTGGAGACAATAAAAGCTGTCGGTACCAACACCAGCATCACATCAAACGCTTTTCCATACTGACTAGAAGCCTGAGTTCAGATCGGAGGCTGGTGCCAAACACACAAGGCTGCAGGTGCCAGAGCTCCCTGCCAGACTCGCGAGTTTCCCAGCGGTTCCCATGGTTTAATTGCGCTCCAACCTGCCTCTACTCGCAGGACTCATACTGCCCATACTTGCTTGTGATGGATTTAACACTTAATCATCGTTGCACCCGTCTACCATCCCAACAACTCAGTCCTCATCTGTGTGTGCGCACTCACACTCACACACACACACACACACACACACACACCTTCCTCCTTACATATTTATTTAGCAGGAGCTTTTATCTAAAGTTACATACATTTTTGAGAAAGCACGGTCAGCCAATCCCTGGAGCAGTTGGGGCTAAAGGCCTCGCTCAAGGGCCAAACGATGACATCACTCTGCCAACCTTGAGAATCGAACCGGCGATCTTCTGATCACAGATATGGCGTCCTAACCCGATGAGTCACACAGCGCCCCCCCCTCACCTCTGAGATGGTACCCGAGCCGCTGCATGTTGTGCTGGGCACAGGGCATCTTCACAAAGTCGTCCGTGACGACCACCGTGTCGAACTCCAGCCCTTTGGACTTGTGGACTGTCCCCAGGATCACATCTGTGCAAAATGACATCGAGCAGTTAATACTGAGAGCGCCGTGTGGCCCCTGGGATTTGTGGGCGTGCTCCCCATTCCCTGCTCACCGGCGTGGCGTGGGTCGTCCACAGACAAAGCACGGATCCGATCCACCAGCTCAGGGATGCGCACGTTATACTTCTCCACGATGATCAGCTTGACCTCCAGATTGAGGTCCTCCGACTGGAGAACATAGTGTTTCAAGCCTGCATAGCCGCCAAGGTTCGCCCTACAGAACCCTCTGATGAAGTAGTCCGTGATTGACAGGTTCTCTGCTCGAGAGAGAAAATACCAAAAAAACACACACCATACAGGAGGAATGTACAGATGTTTTTCTTGCAGTTTGTCCTAGCAACAAAGTGTTGCTGTGCAGCTGTGGAAGACATCATAGCTGGACAGACCTGCACTTTATGTTCAGGAAAAATCTGGCAACTCATACTTCTCTTTCGATCCTCTTCTGGCTGCATCAACACCCAGAGATCCATGATGGTCCCAAGTCCAAAGTTTTCAACACCCTGCAAAAGACGCCAATGTTAAATAAACAGCAAAAATGTACAGGACGATTACTATTTCGAATGATAAAAACCATGCAGGACAAACATCAGTGAAGCTTGCATGTCTGGGTTCAGAGCCTTTGCAGATTAGGAAACTTTCTTTGTGTCCAGAAGGTCACTGGTTTGAATCTTGTGGCCAGCAGAACAAGCATATCATTAATGGGCCACTGAGCATGGCCCTTAACCCCAAAACTGCTCTGGGGGTGTGGGAAAAAGAGCTGATCCTGCGGTTGTACCCCCCCAGTCCCTGTCTCTCATGGAGAGCAGAAATGGATATTAGGGTGCGGTGAAAAAAATCAAAATTTCCAATAGCAATTTCCAATAGTGTGGAAAAGTAGTCACTGTACTTCGTTATTAAACGTGCAAAATATCTTTGAAATAGGTTAATATTTTCAGGTTCCGCAACGCGATCGAAGTTTTCACCTGTCACATCAATGGGCAATATACACTATCCATTATCTATACTTATCGGTGTTGCCAGTATGTCAGTGTAAGCATGCTCCTGTGGTA